TCTGCGTAGTTGCTCTCTGCGTTTATCTGCCTGCCTTTGCCTGGCGTCCGGAACCAACTCCCTTTGGCTTTCACTGCTGCTCCATGCCTCAGGCGCCTCATGGTGGCCAACCAGTCTCTCTGGTCCCTGCTGGGAGTCTGAACCCTGTCCAGGGTCCCCCACATCTTCCAGAGGCAACTCATAGGGTTAGCCCCTTGCTGTCGGAGTCTGTTTGCAGCTCCACCGGCTCCTGCTGGGCAACAACAGGTTGTGACTATATAATATTCATACCCTTAAGTTTTAGGTAGACATTGCTATAGTTGGGTACTCGGAGGGAGAAGACAGCAGTAAGAAGTGATTATCATCTAAGTATATTTACACTGACTATTAAATTTTAGAGAAGGAATGAGCAACATTTTCAGTCGTGATCCACATTTCTATCGATGTATTAAGCCCAGCAGAGATCAAATACAACTCCTTTTAAAATTGGGTTATATGAGGAAGGGTGGGTTATGTAATAAGACAAAATCATACTGTCCAAATTTATCTATTTATTAAGTCAAGATCTAAGATAATTATGTACTGTGGAGTTGGCTTGATTTGATACTTAAATTCAAGCATTGGTTACTGTTGAATTTCTGACCATACCACCAAATTCATTTTCTAACAAGTCACTGCCAACTCAGGTCCCATTAAATTCTGCTGCCTTCTGTATTATTGAATGATTTATTATTATTGAAGTTCGTACATGTCCCTTTTCACCAAATCTCCTTGGGAAAAAAAAATGCCCTAGGTTTTGGGGTGCTTGTAACTGTCAGCAAGTTTTAAAATAATAAAATTGGATGGTTTGGGAGAGGGCGGGAGAATCAGCTCATTCTATGCAGACTTGCTACAATGGTTACAAATTAGACAGAATTTCATTTATTTGGCTTTACAAAAATAACTAAAGGATTAAATCTAGTTAAATTAAATTGTTAAATGTGCCAAATGTGTTAGCATGATATAGTAGACCTAAATATCCTGAGAGCATTAAGCTTCCTATATGTATTGCAAAAACAGCACAGCAAGAGGTCAATCCATATTGTTTTCTAGTTATTGACGGAGTCTAGAATATTCTCGGCAAGGTTATAGTATGAATGCTCGGAAATTCCTACTACTATAATGTATATTTTATAGCAACCTTCAGAAGTCTACATATGTATTTTATGTATATTTTATTTCAACGTGATTCCTTTTGCTCTTAGCTTCTGAGAGGAAGAAAGTGAATTTAATACAAGTTTGTTTTTAACAGGTGAAGAAAAGTTCATTGTTCAAGATGTTTCATCTTTCATTTTACAACAGACAAGGAAGAGAAAAGGTAATGGAGAATTTTTCTGACCCCCTCCTCCGTCCAGTAACGAATGCCGAGACAAGCTTAACTGGAATGTACTTTAATAGCANTACCTGGGATCGACACCGGGTCAGAGGCCGCAAAGGCACAACACGATCCAAAGCCCCAGTGGCTGCCCTATTCCAGGCTTCTACTAGAGCTTCGGTCAAGTTGTGAGCAAGGGATTCAGGAAAAGTCCCAAACTCCATCAGGAACTTTTCAGGGTCCATCAGGCACCTGGGGCGGAACCATCTAGTCGGTTCCGCCTCCCTGCAGTGAGGGGTAGCAGTATGGAAGTATGTCTTTTATTTCTAATTCAGATGCCATAGCTCTTCCGTGAGTTCCATTTCTGTATTGAAAATGTACAAATAGCTGCATGCAGGTAATATTCTAGAGCCAATCACATGATCCATGTCTGGCCTCATAGTTCTAAGAAATTACATCCCACTGAATACAATCCAACAAATAAGAATATACAGCATTATACAGATGAAGTCTAAAAATATTTATTCCAACATTTCTTCCAAATAATTTACAAATGGTTATGGGTTGGGTTATTTTTTGCAAGGACTGATAAGATTAGAGTTAGAGTCCTGGGATTTCTAAAATTACCAGTGCATGTTGATTCTATGGTTATCTTATATCTTAGCTTCAAAACTGCAGATTTGCCTTTTGAACAGGGGAGGGGGTGGGGGCATTAAGCATATGCAAAACTACAATGGATTTTGCAATTTCTTTCCTTTTATGTCAAATATTTGATTGCTGGGCATTCTTCTGTATTTACCTGCTGCTGTTATGGGCTGCTTAGGAATATGGTGTATTAGATAAAATTTAAAAATCCAACAGTCTCCCATAAAAAGAACACAAGGCTGTCACAATGTATGCACAAATAAGAAATCCATTAAATATTGCTGTGATAATAGTACTATAATTGCAGTTTTCCTGAGGCTAGCAAATGTACATGACTGGAATCAAATTTGATTCACAGAAGAATCACAGAAACCTGATTATGTATTAGATATTATGAATGAGGTAAATCAAATTCTGCCATCTGTTGTCTCAAGATGATATTCATTCATTCATTTATTCACAAATGTATGTGGTTGTCCATTCAACTAGTAGAAATCTAGTAAAAATACTTTTACATTTTTATTTTTTTTTAGAAAAGGAAAGTCAAAGTTTTACTGTCAACTTGTAAAGCATTCC